TGGCTGAAGGTAGATTAGAACATGGGTCTTCCTGCACCTAGTCCAACACCTTCACCACTGTACTATCCTTTCTGTGCCAGCTTGCCAACCAATTCTAATTCTGCCAAATTGGAATAAAACTTTATAGATGATCACAAACCAGTCCAAACCCCAGAAGAAATACATCACAAAGGATCAATGAACGATTGATCATGTGAAGGCATCCTCCCCAGATAATACAGCTGGGATCATCTAACTGAGTAATATATGATTGAGCACAAACAGGAGATATTTGTCTGTCCAGGCTGAACAGAAGTCATGTATGGAATTAAAAGGTACAAGATGTGAAGGTCTCTTGTTTTAAGGACTTGGCAAACATATGGAGGACATATCTTTCTCTGGTTGTTAGAAAAATTCTCTAGAAGTGGAACCACCTTCTTTCTAGCCAGTTTAACTCTTGATGGCAGTTATGGGGAACATCTCAGTATCTAACTAGTCACCAGTTCTGCAAGATTGCTGCCCTTACAGGCTTATCCAAAATCAAAGTCCTTTATAATTTGATAAAAAGCCCCCTTAGTTCTGTCACACTATCTGTATTCTGCCTCCTTTGTAGCTTCCGTATCAGCCAACATACCCTCACCAAGCATTTCAAGCGTGCCCTGAATGGTCTCCCTGCCAAATACAAACCTGACTCCCAGTTGGAATATCACCAGCTCATTGGAACCTATGGGACCCATTTCATCAGTCATCTTCACTTGGGGGGCCGTGTGAGGGATGTGACAGCACTGCGGGTCTGCGAGGCAGCATTGGATGGAGCGACTGCTGATGAAGTCAAAGACTGTCTAAACATGGAGGCCTCAGCCAGAATTGGCAAAGCAAGTGCCAATGCAGCCTACAGTATATGTGAAGAGCTGAAAAAGAGAAAGAGTTTTAAAGGCAGCTTCCACCAGACCTACAAGGAGCGTCATACTGAGGTTGTGGGAGGGGACAAACACACCGACTTGCTTTTTTCCAATGATCCGGACACCAGTCAGAACACCGATGCTTACAAGGAGTGGTTGGAAGGCCTCAAGTTTATGCCTGCCCTCCTGTCTTACTCCCTGCAGCCCATCCATATTTTGGTGCCTAAGGGTGACCCAAAGCGGGAAGGTTTGCGGCAGGCAGTGAGCAAGTATGTCAAAGACAGGGCCCTTTGGAGGAACTGCACCCAGCCTTGTCCTCCTGGCACCCAACGCAGCGTTCGAGATCCCTGCTCCTGCATGTGTCACAGTGACAGCGCTACTAACACCATGTGTTGCTCCCGGGAGCGAGGCCAGAGCAAGCTGACGGTGACAATTCAACGTGCCCATGATCTCTATGGAGACCATTTCACAAGGACAGATGCCTACGTCAAGGTATACTTCCATGGAATTCAGAGCCAGACATCCACTGTGTTGAATAATGACAACCCAATATGGATGACCCACTTGGATCTGGGGCATGTCCAGAACTTGGGAGAGGCCAGTCGGCTCAAAATAGAAGTCTGGGATGAAGACAACCGTTATGATGATGATCTTCTAGGGTCATGTGACCGAGTTCCCAGGTCTGGGAAACCTCATAGTGAGGTCTGTTACTTTGATCATGGGCGTCTTGATTTTCAGTATCATTTAGAATGTGGCCCCTTCCTGGGGGGCCCCTACTGCTTGGATTATGCCCCTCAGCAGCCACACAGGGGTGCCTTGTTACAACGTGGAGCAATGTGAAATCCATGATATAAACAGGCTGCCCAAGAGGGTAAAATTCAGTGTTTGTTCAAACAAGAAGCTTTTGGATATTCATGGTACTGCTTATTTTAGAGCATGCCCCGGGTTTTTTCCTATAAGCTCTCGTTTAATTGCTGTAGATCTATCTGGAAAAGCTAGAAAAAACACAAAACAACGCATTACTTACGTACCGAACAAAACTAATCCTAGATATATAGTATAGAATGCTTTTACACATATAGAAAGAGAGGTTAGCTTTCAGATTGCCCTAAACAAATGATGGAGAATGGATATCCTCTGTGCACGTAGCAATCATTTTTGCTGTTGCTGCTGCAATCAAAGCAGCGTGCAATATTAGAACTGTGCAATGTTTGGAAGAGGTGCTTCTAAAGGGATGGGAGCACAACACCTGTCTGCAGCCTGTTACAACAGGTGTATGGTTCCTGGGAATGCTTTTTCAAATTTAATCTTGATCACTGCTTAGCCCTTCACCATATCCCTTTTCATTGTCCTCCTTTTTGTTTCCCTATCTGTCCTATGTAACTCAGAAAAATCCACATTTAGAAAAACCAAATTGTTCAGAACAAGATCAATGTGAAATAATTTGTCAGTCCATAAGGAAGCCACACAGCACCCCACTGCATTGTTCTACAAATTCTACATCTATTGTCTCCCTATACTCTCGGACATCTAATTTTGTAACTAGCTATTAAAGGCATATTTGATATTTTATTGATAAGGAGAATATGCACTGGCTGCACATAACTAGATATTAAAAGGTATTTTTATTGCTTCCTTGTACTTTTGGGGAAATGAACTACTACTTGGCTTGCAAGTCTTCAAACAACAATGATTTGTAACTTGACCCAATTAACTGATCTAGAAAATATACTCTACCCGGGTTTGCAACCAAAATATTTCCTTGCTCATTTCAAGGTTTGATCCTCCCCTGATGTTAATTCAGCATGATCATAAAGACCAGTTTGGATTTGTATTCCAACCCTTTCTAAACCCTCACAGCAGGAGGGGAAATTTGTACTTTCCAAGGTAGTTGGACCCTAGCATTCTATAACTTATAAAGGATGGAAAATACATTGATTCCAAGATAGCCCATGCAAACTAATTTTCAGCAGACAAGATCTGTCTTTGATTGATTCAAAAAGTAAGGTACACTTTATGTCAGAAACTTAAACCTGGAAAATTAAAATCACCTAAAAAACAATTGTAGCTTTTGCAATTAAAAAAAAAAAAAGACCAAGGGAAGTTGTTTTCCCAAGTGAACCTCCAAAATAATGCATTAAATCCCTGCAAATATATTTTAAGAATCTTTCGAAAAATGCCGTATCAAGAATATATCACTCACAGCAAAACATGTATTTTTAAAACCTTAGCTACAGCTGAGAGAGGGGAAAAAGATCTAATTCATTTTCCATCAAATCCTTGGGCTTTTTTGGCACAATTTGAAAAGGATGTGAAACAAGGAGGTATAGGAGGGAGTAAGAATGAATTTGAAATAGAATTATGCAAAGATGTAATCACAAGAATTTATAAATTTGCTGTTAAAATATGATACAGAAGCTGAACAAGTTTAAAAATGTAACATTAGATGGGTGCTAAATTCTGGGCATAGTATTGGCGTGGATATTTGGGGAAAAATGTAGACTAAAAGTATTATATTTACTCTGTGCAATAATTTTAGAGAAATTTTTTATAAAATGATGTATAGATGGCATTTGACACCTGTGAAAGTATCAGAAATGTATAACAATGTTTCAAATAAATGTTGGGAATATGGAAAAGAGGATGGAGCCTATTATCGTATGTGGCGGACTTATGAAGTGGCCAAACACTTTTGGTCAGTGATCCACAGGACGCTGATGAAAATAATAGGAATCTCTTTTCAGATGAAATCAGAACTTTACTGATTAGGGTTTGTGGAAGAAGAACTGAGTAAAAAGCCCAGCGTCTTATGGTTGTATATGATCACTGCAGCAAGATTATTATATGCGCAGAAATGGAAAAATAAAAAAGCTCCAAATGTTAAAGATTGGATATTTAAAGTTATGGATTTGGCAGAGGTGGCAAAACTGACATGTCTAATAAGAGAGAAATCTATAGAAGCTTTTATTAAAGACTGGCGTCCATTTATGAATTATATTACAAAAGTAGAGATAAAATAGCTTGATGATAAAGGATTTTATAGATTCAATAAGGGGAGAATACAGAAAATTTAAATAGTGATTACAACAGTATAAAAGAATAAGAAACGGTTATGGATCCATGAGGAAAGTGAAAGAAATGGACTATATGCTTTTTAAGTTAGACAATATGCTTTTTAAGTTAGATGTTTAGTTTTGTACTTGCAGGTTTATGTTTCTGTATTATGCTTTTTTCATGTTTATTTTATGTGTAGAATTTTAATAAAGTCTATAAAAAAATCCTGGGGCCTTTTTTGATTCCTACAATTCTGCTTCAGCAGAGTGCTTATGTAGTGGACTAAACATAGCAGTTAAGGCTAGGTTTAGTCTAGGTCACGGATGGTCTCAAACTTCTATTTCTTGTCTTTTTACAGTATAGACGTTTAGGAGTGGTCCCAAGACACCTCTAAACATTGTTACCCAATTGTTATTTTTAGCATGACAGAAATATGATAATTATTACATAAATAATCAGAGTAACTGTATTTAATTTTAATGAAATTTAATTACCATTCCATTTAGGTTTTTTTTTTCCTGGCTTCACCCATTCCTTTTAAAAGCATGGTTCACAATAAGCTAACTAAAGACCACATTTAGGCAAAAAATGGAATAAGATCTTGCTGTTTCTACCATGGAAGAGATTATGCAAAACGAGAACATGAAAAGATGGGTATCAAATCATTCAGTTTTTATGAATGGGGAAAGGAAACTTGCAGCAACCCACTTTTCATGTGTCAGAATTCAATATTAATACAGCCAGACTGAAAATGAGGAAAATGAAACCTCTAACATTTAGCAGAACTTACTCAAAGTTTCCTGCACAAAATTGGTTTGGGTGGTGGGAGTCAGACAAATGACAGGATGACGGCGATTCTCTAGGGCAGGGTTCCTCAACCTTGGCAACTTTAAGACAGGTGAACTTCAACTCCCAGAATTCCCCAGCCAGTCTTACTGGTTGAAGTCCACCTGTCTTAAAGTTGCCAAGGTTGAGGAACCCTGCTCTAATGATCTGCTTCTTTACCTGATGTAAGTCTCCATTAATAAATCATACTAACGGCTTGGATGACAACAATCAGGGCCTCTAGAACAACACCACAGATGCAGGATGATTACACACATTCAGGCAGTTTTGAACACTAAGCACAGGGGGACACTAAATTAAAAGTGAGGTAAATTACAATTTATTTGAAATTACTGTTATCAGAGCTTCTTTTACAAGCATCAAACGGAAACCAAAAAGCCCACATCACAGTTTATTTCCCCGCCCTGTGTATCCTGTATGAGACCAAGTCAGGAAGTGGAAAAAAAGATAAATGTGACACATTAGACCTATTGGTGGCAGAATGATTTCTTCACCTAAAAGTGTTGAAGAAAACAGATATTAGAAAAAAAACCTGTCTCCCTTCTACAGCCCAATCCAACTGCTACTCTTCTGCTACCGATACTGCACAGGAAAAAGCTAGACATTAATTTTAAGAGGTGCTTGTTTGCGTTCTTTCCCCATGTTACACCAAAAGGCCATTTTGCAGGTTGATGGATATTTAAGAATGCAACTCTGACCATCTCTAACCAGCAGGGGAAAGCTGGGGTAAAAACATGCACACTGATTCTCACATGTTGAATGAATACCACGTGAAAATTGTGGAACTAATCTTGCAGTAGTGATTCTTGGTAAGAGGAGGAGGAGGAGGAGGAGGAAAGCCAATTTTAAAAAATAATTTATGGGTGCAATGCTGTGCACAATCCCAAGTTGTTGGGTTTCTGTTTTTTTGTAGCTCCTGGCATCATCTCTGGCCACAGCTGTCAGAAATTGGACTCATGCATTTTAAAGTCTGGAAACATTCTGTAATAGGCCTAAAAAGAACCCACGACTTACTCACCCAACGTGAGAACTTCTGATCTCACCCACATTTGTATCATCACTCCACTGTGGTCATGAGGCACCCACACAAACCTAGGCCCCAGCCCTCAAAAGGTTGCCCATCCAATGTAAAACATTGCATTTGGAGGAAGTATGCTAACAGCATCCTCACACCCACTATGCTGGCTTATACAAGCAAAGTATTTTGTTCTGTAAAGAGTCACCCCTCAACCTATCCCTAAAGTAGCCAGATCTTAAAACTGGGTGGTGGTTGAAGGGAGAAGATTCTAGTTTCTCAGCCATTAAATTCAAGTAATCATTCATCTTCAGTAAGTGCCTTCTGATCATTGACTGATGTTGTGCATCTGGTAACTCTCAAATCCCAGTACATATCCTTGAAATCAATTTCTGCCAGTATCTAGTTCAGGTTATAAAGTTTTGTTAAATTTGAGGGGTCTTTTATGCAGCAATTTTATATTTTCTTGTTTATCTTGTTGAACATGTAAAAGAAGAAAAGAAGATGTCTATTTGTACAGCCAGCTATGGCTTCTTGCACTAGTAATGTGTATATTTCCTACACATTCGACAGGGTGCGGGTGGGGTGGGGGTGGGAGCTTCTGCAAAGTAGCTTTTTAATTATATTAAAGAGCAATGAGGCATGTGGCTGGAGAAAAGGAAAACTCAAGATACTTATTCAGTCAAGTTCTTTGAGCTCTTACTTTGTCCCCAAAATGAACCATTCATGTCAGGCCATCACCCCAATGTTAGCAAGGACTTCAAATTACTCTCCGGAGAAGCTCACCATGGACCTTCTGTAGGTTGAGGCAATGACTGTAATGGAATAAATTGTGCAAGGTGGTTTCAAACTGGAGATAACCAAGAGAGATACAGAAACCATTTCTAATGCAACAATTAAGGCATGCAACAAAGGCCCAGCTTAAGAGCCTGCCCACATGACGCACATGCGACAAGAATTAGAAGGCATCAGAAACTCCCCCAATTCGTTGCCACTGTTCAGACAGGAAAACCAGATCAGGTGTGTGACTACTGTCCCGTGTTGGGCTCTGGGTGACCTGGGTTAGGCCCCTGGCTATCATGGTGGCCATGAACTCCTGAGCTGCCTCTGACCCGACTCCCAGAGAAGGTAGGTTGAAGTCCCCCAGGAATGTAAGTCTGGGGAACTCCACCGCCAGTCCAATGATGGAGTCAAGCAGCTCACAGGGAGGTTGCTATGCAGCAGGGAGGCTGGTGCAGCAGCAACAGTCCCAACTGATCCCTAGACCCCAACTTAATGATCAGGGTCTTATATCCAGCAACTTGTGGAGCAGTGCCCCTGAAAGCCTTAAGAGACTCCTAGATGACAACTGCTACACCTCCACCCCTACTCTGGAGTCTCAGCTGATGGCATGCCCGAAACCCCACTGGGCCATTTCCAAAAAGGGCCATCCCCTCTTCCAGACCCAGCCAGGTCTTGGTAATACACACCAGGTCAATGTACTCAAAAGCAGCCTGACCTGGCATGTATTACCGAGACCTGGCTGGGTCTGGAAGAGGAATTAAATCACAGAGGAGGGAGACCTTATTACAGACCAATCTGGCATTTAGTAGCAGCAGCCAAAAGCCAGGGCCTCTGAAGGTTTATGGTTGAGAAGTACAACTCTTCAGAATTTAAAGAGACACAACTGCTTTGTAGATGTTTTTAAAAGTGCTTTTATTTTTATATTACAAAATAATTTGAGTCAGGCCACTTTTGAGTACATTGAGTCTTCAAGGCAATTGGAAAAAATGCTTAATTCTATGAGTAGGTAACCCTTTTTTTTTTTCAAAATACAAAAGTATTGGAATTTTAGGAACAAGACCAGGAGGCCCTAATTTCCACTTGTATCATGATTTCCCAACATAATTTAGCTAGAATTGCATGGAGAAAGACACCAGATGACTTGGCTGTTATTTCTTGCTAGAACATTTGGAACCTTGATTTAATCTGGCCCTCTGAACATGATTTCAGGCCATCTGGTTCCAGATCTCTGTGCAAATTCCATAAGGGAGCAAAGGCAAAGATCATATAACTCACTCTCAATCCTTTTTAGGTTGGCACTGGGGCATTTATCAATTCAATGTAGAAACATGACCAAAAGATCCAAAGGAGAGAAGGAAGTAATCTGCAATCACAAAAAGTTGGGTGTACAATTCCTAAGGCACATAGGTGGGGAAAAGACACAACAAAAGCTCTAAAGGCAATTGGAAAATAGCTTGGCAACCCCAATATTTCAGCCAAGAGTGAACCAGGATGTCCTGATCTGCCATCCTCTGTCAAAATGGGCTTGTGTCTCTAAGACAAAGGAGAAAAACCCAGTAAACCAGCTCAGGATGAAAAGAATACTCAGATTTGGACTCTAGAGCTTCCCCCTACATGGCTGAGTACAGTATGTGAAGGATCAAGATCTGCCCCAACCTTTGCAGAATATTCTTCTCTTCCTTTGCCCTCTAGTGAACACTAAGAATATTTTGTGTGGGGACGAGCCTTTTTATAAAGTGACATGGCATGAACTACGGCAGATTGAGGAAGGTGCTGAAGCAGTACTTAGGAGAGGACTAGGAAAAAAAAGGTGCCATGATCAGGAAAGGAAAATTAGGGTCGCTCAAAGCTTTGTTGTAGCTTTACAGGAGTAAACAAAAAACCGAGGATTCTGTAATGGAAGTGACTGATCACCATTTCTATATGGACAGATCAAGGTTACAGTATCCATTGAAGAAAATGTTACAAAGATAAACCAGGAAGGTCAAAACCAACACAGCAGAGACCTTCTTATAATCTAGTGTTATAGGCACCTGGAAACAGTTTTGAATGGAGGGAAGGATTCTAGGCAACAGGCAGCATGTGCTTTCAGGACTGGAGGGGCAGGAGGATCTCCACCAGCCATCTGTCAGTGCAAAGGCCACCCCACAAAAGGGGTAACAGTTCCAGGATAGAGATGTAGCCAAGTGGAAATCCTAAAAACAAAGGGAAAAAAATCCAAAACTCACCAGAGTCACTATTCTCAATCTGATCCCAACTGAAAAGCTCTATCTAATATGGTAGCCATCCCATAGCCTTCCCTCTTGCTTAACCTGTACAATAAACCTTCCCAATGTTTTCAATTCCTTCTAGAAGACATGAGACACTACGGAGGCCTCTCTACCTCTGTGAAATGCCAAAAAGAGCTGCATCCTTGTACTGTATAACAGGAGCAAAAGCACATGGGAGAAATGTGCCTTGGCTCCCATCAAAAGTTAAATGGCTACTGCCATTTTCCCTTGTTCATATAAAGCACTTTTAGGGATGCACCTCAAGGCACCTGGTTACCAGGTCTCTGTTCAAGCCTGCTCAATAGGCCAACCAAGTTTAATCCAGCCGCATCCTTGGGTTTCCATCTCCTTGTACACACCATCAGGCTCTGACCACGCAGCATGAAGGGAGACACAAGTGGGAGTCCTTCTAAAGTGCAATAGACAGAATGATGGCGATGATGATGATGATTGCTGTGACGCTCAAGCAGATGCCAATCATGACCTTCTTCTGCAGAGCCCCAAAACAGAGAAAAGGCAAAAAGACGTTAAGAGACATAGATAGGGGAAGTGTCTCAACTTCTGCTTTATTTATTCTTTCTCTGCTAGCTTTAGGGAGTAACAAAGTAAATGTGAAAGCCTTCTCACCCACAGGCATACTTGCTCAACACACCTTTCATCTCCCTGAGGTTTCACCATGTGCTATTTTTTGAACTACAAGGACTCAGAAAGTTTTCCCCCCCCCTGAACTGAAAGCAGAAACTCCCAGGATCATTAACTCTGCTCCTATAAGATACAGCTGAAGGGTGTTTCATTTTTTTAGAAAGTGCCTGCTGAATATGGACTGAAAACGGGCTGTTTACCTTGCGAGCTTTCTTCTGATTCTCCTGAGCTGTATGAAGGTGCTCCTGTCCTTTCTTGACATAGTCCCCAGAGTCTAGAATGTTCTTCTCTATCCTGTCAATCGTTTCTCCCTAAATGGAATCAAAAGGGGAGATTCAGATAAGGAGAAGCTTTTGGCCTAAGACAACTGGTTCCAGAGGCAGAACAGGTGGGCAGAAAAAGAAGTGAGACTAAGAGTTCCATTGCAGATTGGCAGTTAGTGGGATCAGATTAGTATGGGACAACTAGAGGTAAAGAGAAAAGAAATCAAGCAAACGGTAGTTCATAGAAAAAGGAACAAAAGTGTTCAAACACAGCAGTTCATCTTTTGCCCACATTAAAGGGTTTTTAACAGTACATTAACAGTACTAATAGGAAGGAGACTGGATGCTATCAGAAAGTCAGAACAGATAAAAAAGGGAATAAGAGGGCTCAACAGATATTCCTTTCTCTCTTCAGGGAAGTAAAGCACATCGTTTTCATGCAAGAAATCCAAAGTTCAAGCGTTAATATCTCCAAACAAGGCTGAGAAAGATTTCTGACACCATAAAAATATCTCTGACATCATACACTTAGTAGATCTGTGTAGATCCTACTAAGCTGATGTTCTGATTCAACAAAAGTGTGTCCAGATCACAATTCTCCTCCTTTTTCTTTCTCCCCCACTTCATACCTGCAGCTCCACTTCTGTAGCCAGGAACATAAACATGTCATGTAGCTCCTGGATACTGCGCTCCAATTTAAGGATTTCACTGTGCCTTGTTTCAATGTCATTCAGAGCCTGCTTTGTCACTTGTGTGTCCTTCATGAGCTGCATGAAAAAGGCGAGGTAGATTAATCCCCCTGTTTAGAGACTTTTCCTCCTTCCAAAGGCCCAATATTCTGATACTCACATTTGAGATAAACACCTCTGTCTGACCGCTCTCCAGCATGTCATCCAGCTCTTCATCAGACACCACCGTACTACCAGCTGAGGGAATAGAAATACAGTGTTGATACCAACAGAGGTTTCTGACTCTCCTGTCAGAAATGAGAAATTAACCCCAAAATCTCTTTTTCCCAGCACCTCTGACACTTGTTTTGCCCTTGAACAGAATCCAGAAGTCTAGGGCCTCTATCCTTAATCTGAAGCATAAGATCCAAAAGCCAGGGGCTATGCTGGAATTCTGAGGTTATCTGCTCTGCCCTCTCATGGCAAACAGCATAGCTGAAAGGAAGAGAACCCGATAAGGTTAAGGGGAAAACTCTGTATTTTGCAGCTGGGTTATACTGGCAAATAGCTTTGTTTAAGTGTTTGTTTGCTTTGTTTCCATTTACTACAGAGATTCTGAGATAATTGTGATTGTAATTTTAATTGTAGTTGTTTCAGTCTTTGATTCTGGGAGTTGAAGTCCACATGTCTTAAAGTCGCCAAGGTTGAGAAACACTGCTTTAGAGGATGACAGACAATTGCTATCCGTCTGAGGGAAAGTTACTTGGCTAGTATACAAATAGCACACATTGCTGAAGGGTTCTATAAAACTGAACATTCAGTGATGGAGCACAAAAGCTAACCGTAGAAACTCTGTGACATTCTTCCAGGAAGAAAAATATGCCTGACAGAATGTATCAAACTTTTTGAGAAGGGACAGGCAAATGGCTTTTGGTGCCTACTAGCTGCACTTAACACATGCTGGGGAAGTGGAGGGGGAAATAGGCTGAAGGTTACAAAGCGAATGGGGTCATGTGACACTGTAGACAGAACTGAGTTGGGGGGGTTGAATTGTGGTCCTTTCTTCGGCGTTTGTGATTTCTCTCTTTTATGGCTTACACTGGATTAGTTCCATTTTCTACCTCAAAAGAGAAACAGTGCTTTCGGTTTCCAAGAAATCATGGTCAAATGGGCTTCAAGGGGCCACAAAAAGAAAACTGAGGTCTCATGCAACTTTGGGGCTACAGGTTGTCCTCCCTGTTTTAGAGAAATCAGATACTGAGAATGAGGGTTCCAGGTATTGAATTATAAAACAGGCATTTACCCTTTTCTTTTGGGAAAACACAAGGAGACCACAAGACCACAGACAAGTGCTCCAGACAGTTGCTCCTTGCAAGGAGACCACAAGACAGTGGCCTCCAGCAGGTTTTGAGCACTGGGAGACAAGTGAATTGCCATCTTGCTCAAACTGTGGCCAGTGCCTTTAAAAGGACACAAAGTTCACACACTTCCTTTTCTAATCACATTAGGAAATTGCTTATTAACTACTTTTCAGCTCTTAGAAACCTTTGGATTGACAAGTATGAAAATACCAGGTGAGTCTGCCTTCAATCCTTAATGAAAGAAAATTTTAACTACAAGCTTAAGAACTTAAATTTGAAATAAACAGCAAAAAGCTAATTAAGACTTTAATTTTAGAAAGTCATAAATGGATTAAGGATCCAGATAAATTTGAAATAAGATTTTGGAATTAATTATAAGAATCCTTCCCGTGGGAAAGTTGACTTGTTTTGAAAATAAAAGAGATAAACAATTTTAATAATTGGACACTAGAGGGTACTAAAGATTTTAATTAAAGGAGAAGAATACATAAACCTGATTAACAGCTACAGAATGACACAAAATATTGTAACATTGGAAATACTTTAAAATACTTTTAAAAAATGGAATCAGAAGTTAGTATCAACAATGTCAATAGTGATGTTTGCTTCAATGAATAGACTGTCCAAAAGATGTTTTGGAAGAAATGGCAGAAGAGGAACAAGTTTTATCTGACAAGACAGAGTTGACACTGAAAGTGGATCTACAAATGACAGGCTATAAGAATGACATGGAAAAAGATGTTTCATTGGACATTCAAAATAAATCAGTTGATGTTTTAAAAATCAAAAGGGAATTACAAATAATAAACCAAGAGAGTGACCTGGATAATTCTTTTACAGATATATTGGATTTACAAAAGAGGTTTGTTAAAGCTTGGATGAATCTTGTGAGAAGGGATAAGAAAGAAATGAAAAGAATTCAAGTTCTATGACATTACTTGAATGGACTAAAACTAAGATTGTTAGAAGTAAAAGGAAGGAATATAAAGTTGGTTTATTTGAGCAAGTTAAAATAGATACACTGTTATTTCTAACAACCTTAATGGACTTCTGACATTTGGACTGAAATGATGATGCTTTATGGTTTTGTTTATAGATAAGAGATGGGACATGCGATGAAGAGCTCATTGGTTGTAAATTAAGAGGAAGTGAAAAGTTACTAAAATTGTTTATACTTGTGATGAAGGTTGGAAGTCACTTCTTTATATATTTATTTTTTCTTTACTATATTCTTGCTTTTCTTTCTATTTTTGTTTTTTTTCTTTTCCTCTGCACTTTTTACTGCTTCTTTCTATTCTTTTTTCTTTCTTTTAGTTTGTATTAGTTTTTACTATTACAATTATAATAGTTATTTATTAAATTATTTTAAAAATACAATAAAAGTAGCAATAAAATGTATAATAATAGTAAATAATATATCAAAGGAATATAAAACAATAGACAAATATATTCTTTAAAAAACCTTAAAAGTTATAGTAGGTGTCCCTCAAATGTCCAGAGGGGGAACATTCTAGAGCGGAGGCAACCAACATGAAGAAGGCCCATCCATGAGCAGTTGTCAGACTTCTCAATACATGCGTAATTATCTCAGTGACTGACCAGATCTAGAACTGTGAAGATGCTCTGACAGGTATCATTGTTCCAAAAGTCTGGAATGTCCTAACCAAAACCTCAAATCTGATTCAGTCACTAATTGGCAGCCATCTGGGACTTACCTTAGCCATAAAAAAATCCAAATGACTTTGGGTCTCACAATCTTTCTTTTTATCCTACAGCTGGCACTATGATTTGGGACAATTGTCCAAGAGGACTTGACATTAAAATGCAATATTTTCTGTCCCTAACAAAGGCAACCACAAATACTCACTAATGTGTAGATGTCGTTTGATGCGCTCCAGATTCCGGTCTCGATACTCAGACTGTATGGAGTTGCATTTGTTGATGAGATCCAAGAATTGCTGGGAGAGGATCCCATGCTGAAGCAGAAATGTAAACAATGAGTTATGCAGACCATTTCTGCTTCCTCACTAGCTTCCCTACCAAGGCAACCAACTGCTTTGCCTCTCACCTGATTTCTCTTCATTCGGTTGTTGAATGAATTTCTGTTCTCATCTTCTTCCTCCTTCTTAGGCTCAATTTCTACATATTTAAAAAGTGTCTATAATTAGATCGCAATGCTTTATTCAAGAAAGAGAGAAATGGGAACTAAATTATCATTTTTTCAGAGCACCAGATACTAAGTCCCAAGCTGAAGACCCAATATACATCCCTCTTCCTTTTCCCCATAAGTTGTGCAGACTCACTCTTCAGGCGGGCTCTAATGTCTTTTGCCAACTCCTTGATCTCCTCACGTAGCTTTTGTAAGTCTTGCTTCATGCCTAGAAAACACACTGAAAATTCAGCAACTGTACTATTTGTCATCATATCCAATTCTAGCAAGCACCTTGACTGAGTACACTTGGCCCCCTATCTTTCCTCCAGGAAACTCAGTTTGCTCCTATACATTTACAGATAGTCCTCAATTAGTGACAGTGATTGAGATCGGCAACTCAGTTATTAAGAGAAGTAGTCACTAAGTGAAAAATCATGTGACTGTGACTGCTTACGATTTTACACAGGACAATTCCTACTAACTGACTGTAATAGTTAACATGTGACTGAGAAAGAGAGATAATGCAAAGGTTGTAAATGCAGGCATTGGTTGCAAAGTTACTTTTTCATCACCGTCGTAACTGTGAATGGTCACTGTCCGAGGCAGTCACTAAGCAAGGACTACCTGTACTCCATTGTCAGTCACACCACTTCTTCCTGAACAATTCTGCAAAAATCTATCTGTCCCCTCCCTTATGCCTTGGTTGAAAGTCTAATTCATAACTGGTCATCTTCTTCTGTACAGGTAGCCCTCGCTTAGCAACCACAATTGGGACCAGCAACTCTGTCACTAAGTGTTGCAGTTGCTAAGCGAAACATCATGTGACCGCAAATTATTTTATTTATTTATATTTCGAATTTGTCACTGCCCATCTCACCGCAGAGTGACTCTGGGTGGTTTACAGTAAAAACTTATGATTTTACTTCTGCCTTCTCTATTAACTCTGCTTGTTGCAAGCCAGTTGCAAACTGCCCAAATGGTGATCACATGACTGTGGGATATTGCAATGGTTGTAATGCGAGGATTGATCACAAAGCTTTTTACGCCAATGTAACTTTGAACAGTTGCTAAACGAGGCAGTCAGTAAGCAAGGACTACCTGTACTTTTTTGTTATTTCCTTTCACCAGCTTTTCTCTCTAAACTTCACTTCTTATATCTCTACTAAGAATTCTGCTGGCAAAATAATTCTTCTGACTGTGATGACCCATTTTCAGATTCCTTCTCAATTCCTACTCTACTTGCAGCACAAATTCCTCGCCCTTATTTTTAAAGCTATCTATGCCCAACCCATTTTCTTTCAGTTCCTGTTATGTCTAACAAGGCTGGTTTCTATTTCTGATTCTTACCCTCAACTGACTAAAGGTATCTTGTTTTTTTGATCAATTCCACCTATTCTTTCTAGCTGTCTAATTTGTGTAAGTCTCCTGTTTGAAGCATGTATATACAATGTTTCCTTTCTCCACCAATTTCTTCTCAAAGACAGTATTTTCTGTCACCTTTGCCTAGTCATCTTGAGCCTCAATCCTAGTTTAATTTAGTTTTATAGATGGATCGCAGCATTTGCAACTAGTTTTCCCTTTGTAATTTTGGAACATTTAACCTATTATGCAATAGTCTGCAAGATGCCAAGTGCATAAATGGTACAGTGTATATATTGGCAGAGTCTGAGGCTTGATCATTGGAAACTTACTTTCTTCAGGGATTGGTGTAGCCAGGACTGTAGTCTGTTTTTTCTCTAGTTCTTTCACTTCATTTCCCAGCTTCTTCAAGGCTTCACGGATGCCATGTGTCTAAAAAGGAGATAAATGATATGATGAGAAGGTTAGTACCAATTACTGAATCCTGATCTCATCTCAGAGAGCTCAGAAACATTGATGATACAACTGGATTAATTTCTATATGTTGTTTTTTAAAAAGCATTACAAAAGAAGAAAATAATTACAGGTAGTCCTTGCTTAACGATTGCCCTGTTTAGTGACCATTCAAAGTTACAACAGTGCTGAAAAAGTAACTTTACAACCGGTTGTTGCACTTATGGCTGTTGCAGTGTCCCCATGGTCACCTGATCACCATTCGCCTGCTTCACAGCTGGCTTCCGACAAGCAGAGCCAATGGAGAAGCCAGCAGAAAAATTACAAGTCGCAATCACATGATGTCTCGCTTAACAACTGTGTCACTTAGCAAGAGAGTTGCTGGTCCCAATTATGGTAGTTAAGTGAGGACTACCATATTCCTTTCTATTGCCAGTAGCCCTAACATGTTTGCCAATGAAGAATATTACTAATTAAGCAGCATAACAATTGTCTGAAATCACTTATTTCACTGTCACTAATTATAAACTATCATCCTAGCCAACTGGCCAAATAACATGCACTCCCATACCCATTGCATTCTTCCCTTTCAGGATAACCAACTTTATGCAAAGCACAAGAGACAAGAAGTAGTAAGCAAAAGAAATTAATTGCATGAAATAAATATTTGAAAGCATAATTAAGCCTACTCTATACCCATATAGTCCACAATACCCCTACATACCTTACTACTTTTGCAAAACATCCTTGCTTCCATCATATCGATACATTGCTTCATACATTGCGTTTTGTCCTTTAAACTTTGCAAACTTCTTCTTTTTGAGAATCTCCATCCAAACACACATGTGGCCACTCACTCCTGTACTCAATTCACGTTAATTCAGCAGCCATTTATTCCTGACCCTCACTTCCAAATAACAAAGTGGGCAGAAGCATGCTTTTATACACTGCCATTTTTACTTCTTTCAACAAGCACTAATATATCATATCACATTACTTTCAACTTTTGACCACCTTTTGCATTTCTTAAATGCTTACTAAAAATGGACAGAGAAATTTTATTAAGATATACTGTACACATTCTTCTACTTTATTTTTTCCTCTCTTATAACCTACAAATGTTTACTCCATTTTCCTGTTAAATACAACCTCCATCTTTGATACATTAGTTTTCAGATCCATACTTGTCATTACATCATACAGTCTAACGTTTGCTGCAAATCATTTGAGGTCTCATCCAGCACCATAGCATCGTCTGCATGCAAAGGTGCACGTACATTCACATCCCCAACCAGCATACCTCTAGTGGTACAACAGGCTCTACACTCCTTATACAATTATTCATAAACAGATTAAACAACCAGAAGGATTTCATATACAGTATATTGAACAAACTAAGGACTAAGCATTCCAATTTGTTCATACATGCTTCCATCATATATCATTCTAACTGTATTCAGCAATACAAACTGTAACTCCATATTCAAGCAAAACATTCCATAATGTAAGCCTATTTACTTTGTCATAGATTTTCTCTAAACCAACATAAACTTTTTTTCCTATTCACATATTTTTCAATGACCTGCTGAAAAGCATAAACTTGATCTATACACCCCCAGCACTGCAGTTATCAGTTTGCTCACTGTCACCTCTCATATCCTTTCTATAAAGTTTTGCTAAGCATCTTCCCAAGCACTTAAACTAATCCTACAGTAGGGGTTTTTTTTTTTGCATTTACAAACTTGCATTTCCCCCTATGTATAGAACAATAATAGCATTTTCTCAACAATCAGGTTCAGCAATTTTCACATACATTAAATATGTTGAATGGCCACTCCGTATTTTAATTTTTCCCAGTAATACCGTTTAACTTGCAGCTTCACTATTTGTCTATATTGCCAAAGTATTTACAACTTTTTTTCCATATTTTTTTTCCTCTTGGACACTAACTTTTAAAGCACTCAATTTTTCAAATACTCCTTCAAGTATTTTCTCCCTTTGGCTGCATCCCAAATGAACTTTTATTTTTAATTGCATTCATTCTATTGGAAGGTCCTTGTTTAACGTTTTCATTCACTTCTAGAACTATTTTTTATTTCCATCAAAATCGCTATGTAATTTCCCTGCTTCTTATAATCTTAATCTTTCCTTGCTCTCTTTCATTACATTCTTTGTAAGAATCTTTTTCTCTATAGGCACATATACAGTATCTTTCATACTCATTTTCTGCAGCAATCATTCTTTTATATGTATGTTTTTTCTCATCCCCAACATTCTTCATTTCATCATTTTATGAAATATCCATTTTCACATGATCATGCTATGGCGCATATACATACACAAACACACACACACATTTTGTTCTAAGCAGTTTCCAGATTCACTTTCCGTTCATTCTGTTGGGAGATTATTTATTTACAAAAATTATTTACAAAGTCAGTCATAGACTTTGGGCAGTTAATGATAAAAACATATAATAAATTATCCATAAATTAAAACTCAACCTCTTCAAACCAGCATAACGTAACTAAAAATGATTTCCCGTTAGATTATTAGAGGACAGATTGCTTTTTCATACAGGACACAGACTTTCTCTTCCTGAAGTCACTCTGATCTCATCTATTGTTTTTACTACTTTCCTTTTCTTTCACATCCATTTCCACCCAGGATCTGCTCTCGGAAATACAAAATAATAGCCTACCTCACATTCAAAATTTCTAATCATTCTTGTATCCTGTTCTTCTCATTATTGATCCCCTCCTACTAGGTTAGCATGCTAACTATACTATATGGTCAGTGAATATAAACCACTTGGGTTACTGGGGCCCTGGTTCCTGTCTGATTCCTCCTCCTATTGCTACCCAGGGTCAATTCAGCTTGCTGTGAATGTTTTATTACAAGGGGACTTTAAGCAGTTCACATGTATGGGAGGGCATCTTATAGGGTTGGTAGTGAATGCAGCTGACATGTATGGGTGGGTACCTTTTACCACCACAATGGGAAGAGAAATCAGACACTGAGTAAGCATTTTTATAGAAGACCGAAAAAAAGCCTTCATTAGTTATTTATTTATATATACATGGGGGGAGAGAGAGAGAGAGGGAGGGGGGGAGGGAGAGAGAGAAAAAAAGCAAACCAAGTGGATTATCAACTCCCCAAGTGCTCAGAAAGATCAGTATACCATTTCGAAGAATTCATCAGTAGGATCTGGGGAGTCATTGTGTTTTGCTGATCCAGGCCATGTGACAAGGGCCACACGTTCAACCTCTTCATTGTCTGAGTCATCATCTTTCTGTGGAAAAAAAATAAAAGAAAATCAGATATGTCTGAGAAAGTATATATACCTCATACATGGCAGGTACAAAAAAAGGTACACCAAATTATTTTTTTTAAATGTATCTTAATTTTAACTCTACAAAAGCAGCTAGTAATTAGAACAACACATTTTAATTACATGACTTGGTATCATGTTAACACCTGCAAAGAATGAATGAGACAATCTTCTTGCCAAGGCCTAAGTCAGTACATTGGCTAAGTTCATATATTATACCAAGCAATAATATGGTTTGGGCTTCACGTTTATATGAGCCTAACCCACTGCTGTTTATTCAATACATCATGGGTTTAAACATACTTTAGCACATTCTGAGAAAGCAATTACTCTTCTCACTATGGCAATATTCTCCATTTATTCTTAGATTAATATTGAACTTTTGAGACTGATAGGCAATATTCCCATGTGAAAGCAAAAATGAAGTATCAAAAGTATTGCTAAATACTAGCTGAATATACACTGCAGCATGATTATATATGAAAGCCTGGCATGAATATTGGGTGACTATTGATGCTAGATAAATATGTAAGAGAAGCATAACCAAATAAAGCTGTAAATCCAGAAATTACTTCATTGTAAGGAATAACAGGCACCCGTTTCCTGTGCAGAAAGCAACTGTCACCCAGCATTCATATATAATATTAAACGGCAACTTAGCACAATGTATGGGAACAGAACAGAGCTTACATGCTTTACCGGGCTCTTACATTCCCACCCATTATTATTGTACACCAGGGGTTCCCAACCTGGGATGCAAGATGGAATTTCAGAGGGCGCAACGACTGTATGCACTGAGTTAAAAGCTTTTTTTTTTTTTAAGTTCAATTTGTTCACCCACATTAGAAATTAGACTTCTTCATCTTCAAATGTGATATTACTTTTGTAGGGGATGCAAACATTAATCAAACATTTCCTAGGGGTGTGGGGCATA